GTTCTCCGAGATTCTACAAGCGAGGTGGATTTGAATGTTATGTAGCGTAATATGAATTAAAGGTTATTTTTAGGAATGACAATGATATGCGCAGTACAGGGTATGGTGGCCAAACTGGAACACTTTGCCCCAGTTGGCACCAGTCACCATATAGTGTTGTCATTCAGATTTAACTGTTACCTAGTTCAGGATAAGGCCAGGCAAAGGTGCAAATATTACCAGGGAAATTACAACGGGATGAGGGAAGAGATGAGAGGTATCAACTGGCCTGACTCATTAAGGCACAAGAACGCAGACACTACGCTGAATACCATAGCGTGGGTTGGGTCAAATGATGAGCAGGAGAGGAGGGAGGATGTATGCAAGAGCCAGAAACCAAGCAAAGATAGAGTGTCGAAGGGCTGAAAAGGAGTTCCAGAGGCTGATTGCAAGCGAGGATAAGTCAAACCTAAAGGCGTTTTACCACTATGCAAAGTCGAAATAAAAAACGCGAATAGGAGTATCAAACCTGACGTTTAAAGATGGTAGTTATACAGATTCTGACCAGGATAAAGCTGAGGCATTGAACAGCTTCTTTTCCTCGGTGTTCACTAGAGAGGATGCAATTGATTTTCCTGTGTTTGAGGACAGACGGTTCGACACAGCACTGACCCACATTGTGTTCACAGAAAAGGGTATTATAAATAAACTGTCCAGGCTAAAACGTCCATAAGAGCCCCTAAAGATCCTGTTTTGTAAATGCCTGGATGAACAATAGGTCCCCAGTGAATGGAAAGTGGCTTATGTGATTCCTATATTGAAGAAGAGCGATCGTCACTCAACGAACGACTATAGACTGATGAGCCTGACCAGCATAATATGTAAATTACTTGAGAGTATTATCAGAGTTGCCGCAATGGAACATGTACTACGAAACAACCTTGTAAAGGATTGCCAGCACGGTTTTATGCCAGGGCGCTCCTGCTTAAAACAATTTCTCAAGGTATTGGATATTTGGATCCATATTCTGGAACGGGGTGGTAATATCGACAATATTTACCTATTCTAGATATTTGCCAAGTCTTTCGACAGTGAACCCCACGAAAGGCTGTAAATCAAACTGGAAGGGTACGGAATCCGGGGAAATGTCCTAGCGTAGATAGAAGACCTTCTTCATGACCGCAAGCAGTGTGTGGTGATTAATGGCACGAAATCATCATCCGTACCTGTCACAAGCGGGGTACCACAGGGCAGTGTAGTGGGCCTGCTGTTCTTTGTTTGTTTGTTTTATAAATGACATGCCTGACGTTGTACACTCCTCCATACAAATGTTTGCTGATGACGCCAAGTTATTTCAGGAAATCAAGAACCAAGCGGACTGTGAAGAGCTGCAGAAGGACCTCTGTGGGCTCCAAGAATGGTCGAAGAAATGGCTGCTGAGATTCAATGTCACGAAGTGTAAGAGGATGCACCTGGGTCGTACCAACGGTAAGGAGGCGTATCATATATCCCAATGGGATGAAGAAACTGCACTAGTTGAGACTGAATATGAGAAGGACCTAGGTGTGTATGTTGACAATGAGCTGAAGTTCTCGGGCCATTGCGAGAAGAAGGTAAA